ATTCTGCAATGGTTGGCAACTCCTTTGATATATATATATATATATATATATATATATATATATATTCTCTCCTTTAGTTGCAGCTTCCAAATAGACATGGTTTCCACATAAAAGTAACTGGGAAGTCCTTGTGAAGTCAATATTTGCAAGAAACAGATCACGTTTATGATACAAATAAAATATGTATTCTTATTTCTACCCTGTATGGGCAAATTGATAGGTCTTTCTGCATTCGAGTTGTTGAAAATTTATGTGTCAAGGATGAATTTAGCAAAACCATAATATGACAAGGATCTTTGTACTACATGAATGCTAGAATTAGAAAAGGATGCGTAGTTTATGATATCTTATGTCCTTGTTATCTAGGTACTGCAGTTCATGGTATGAATTGGATCATTAATAGGTGCCGGAGGGCTTTGGTTCAACCTTACAAACGTAGCTCATGATGTGTGGATTAGGTGCACATCACAAGTTTGAACCCTGCCGCGAACAAAAGCTTGGTATTCAAGTGGAGAAGGGTAAAAGGTGCCCATGTACATCACGAGTTCGAATCCTGCCACAAACAAAAGTTTGGTATTTAAGTGAGTAGGGTAAAAGGGGGCCCGTTATCAGTTGAATTTTTAACCGTGCGCCAGCTGGCTCTCCAGGATTTCTCACATAAAAATTAGATCATTAATTGGTGTTGTAGTGAGTTTTATTTGTGTGACTTTGAAGTAGAAACAATTTTGATCTAAAGTTTTCTGAGGGCTGAAACAATATATTTGCGTGAGAAACAGGCTGAATTATGCGCTGTACTTTGTGTCTAAACTGTTTGATGAACTTCCAGTAGTCATACTTCATGGTATATGAAATTGAGACTGTATTTTTAACTCAATTGAGTTTCTCATTAAGGCAATATTAGTTGGTTGTCTTCTGATTTGTATCACGAGTCTAAATTAAACTCGATACCGTTATTTGCATGGCAGAAACAGGGCATTTCTCTATCCCATTAATGATTGTGCCTTAGTAACTTAAATTGGTAGTCCTCTAAAATGTATCATCATTCCAAATTAAATTGTGTTTCCATTGTCATGCATGACACAGAAAGGATGGACAGGACACTCAGGATGAGTTGCAGAGGAGAAACCTCCGGGAAGAGTTAGAAGACCGTGAGCGGAGACACTTTTCTTCAAAAGATAAAGGCTATGGTATGTGAAATGTGGACACTCTCTATGTCTTGCACACAGACACACAAGCACACATACAGAAACAGATACAAACACATATATTGACGCATGCTAACTTTACCCGGTAAAAAAAACACATACTGACGCATGCTAATTCCAATCTGATTTTGTTCAACTCTTAAACTTGTACTCTATTTTGTTGTAGAGGACAGAGACCGGAGAAAGGGTGGTCAACTCCTTTTAGAAGGTGAGTGCTGTTTGTTCATTAGACTGGTCTAGGATTTCAAATTTGACACTGAGTATCCATTATTATATGACATTATGCTGCAGGGGGCAAAAGAGAGATTGAAGATCGCATTGTTCCACGCAGTGCTGACGCTGATGATGCTGACGTCAAAAGTGATGATGAGAGGTTTGTACCTCGTTCCCTATTTGTACCAACATGGGTATGCCTGATAATTTTCCATTGATATATTAGGGATAATATTTTGCAAAGGCAGTGGTGGGTATGCAGTTTTTGTTGTACGATCAAAAAGTTGTTATAGAATGCATGTAGCCATGTATCAGTTGAATACTACCAGTCCGCCCTTGATGTGGTTCCCCCCTTACTGTAGCTTTGCTTAACAATTGTATTATTTTGTTACTTCAAAAACTTAAAAGTTGTTTACACTGATTAGTGAGGATGATGATGACGATGATGATACAGAGGCTCTCCTGGCAGAGCTTGAACAGATAAAGAAGGAAAAAGCTGAGGAGAAACTTCGGAAAGTAAGTATAACTAAATGCTCAATAGTTTCTTTATCAATTAATATGTTGGTTCTTCAATTTTATTTATTTATTTATTTTTTGTTTCTTGAACTATATTTCTCTGTAGTTTAATATTAAATTGGTGGTATTCATTCTCTGTGGGAATAGCTTCAGGAACTGTGTAAAATTTCCATTCAGAGATTTAAATAACATTGCTATAAACTCTAAGTTCTGTCTTTTTGGCAGGAACGGCTAGAGCAAGAGGAGGAGCTTAAAGCAAAGGAAGCAGAACTGTTGAAGGGAAACCCTCTATTAAACCAGCCAACATCTTTCAGTGTGAAGAGAAGGTTGACCCCTTAAGATATGTCTTATTTAAGACTTTTTAGCTTTACTTTAGTGTAAAATTTACCACATTTGGCTTTAATTTATTCTCTTTAGGTGGGATGATGATGTGGTCTTCAAGAATCAGGCTCGCGGGGAACTGAAGGCGGCCAAGCGCTTTATAAATGACACCATTCGGAATGACTTTCATAGGAAGTTCCTGCAGAAATACATGAAATGATAGTAGGATTTAATGTGAAAAAAGGCAAGCAACAAACTTTAGCGCCTAGTGGATAGTTTTGTTGAGTTGTTTCTCAAATGTCCTCTACATCATTCTGTTGAAACACTCAACTATCCCTGTGTAATACTGCCATTTTTAAACTAGCTATTCACAATGAGAAATTGAATACATTTCTGTTCTCGATTCTGTCCTTTTCTCTTATAATTTTTTTTTTTTGAATTGATTAGGGGGAAACAAAATATATAATATATATCTGCAGTTAATTTAACATGTATCATGGTTTGAATATGCATCTGATTCAGAAGTCATGCAACTTACGCTACTTCTATCACTTGGAAAAAACCAACCTATCTCCGAGCTGTATTTCACATTTTCAAATCGAGGTTTATTTGAATCTAATTGTAGGTCATAACATTTTACAGTGAATTGATTAAAGGTGATCTTTAGCACATGTCACGAGCTAGACATAAAGGCATTCGAAACACTGAAAAAGTTTCTCTTCACACGATCAAAGTTTTACAAAGAGGATACACAATTGTATACAAATTAAATATTTAAAGGAGCTAGCAACTTCTGCACACTATCAACAGAGAAAAAACCTCAACCCAATTTGTGGAGAACAAAACACGGATGATGCAAGCCTATCACATGTGGGATACAGTTGACTGGGAGAAAAAAGAATTCAGTTTATATTGCAATGTATTTCCATCAAGCAAAGTGGCAGCGCCCTTCTTCAAAGGCCAAGACATTGCAAATATGGATTTTTTTTTTCCTACTTATTCCTTCTGTTCTTCCAATACAAACTCAACATACAAATCTTTTAGTGCAATCACAACGGTAGTCATTAGTGGCCCCATTATTGCTCCCTGCGCAACATATACACAAAAAAACGATGTCAAAGTCTTAAACCCGTTAGGGCATATACCATGCAATAGCACAGAACTACCAAGTATGATCTTTTTCCCAATGCTGGTGTAAGGAAATATACAATCTTTGAGTTTCCAGCATTGAGTATGCACCTAAAGGACCCTACCGACCCTATGCATCTGACTTCCTAATTCACCATTCTTGAAATCTTTCTTTATACTGACTCATTATTTCTGCAAGGACTCATCATTTGGTGCTAGAGATTTTGTAAAGGTATTCTATCAAGCCACTTGAAACACTTATGGTAATAAATTCATCTTAAGTGAAATAAGGAAACTCTAGTTCCAAGACCATGATGATCTATAAAATGATTGGAGTTAAGAATAAGGTTGAAGGACTCGTAGCTTCTTTCCCTAATGGTATTATTGCCGTTCCTGTCATGCTATCTCATGTGACAGTCAGAACATAAAAGAGCTGAAATCTTGTTCCCTTTTTGACTGGTAAATAAAGAATTAAAAAAAGTTAGTAATATTTTTCTGTCTAATATGGAAGATATATTAATAGCTGATCCATGGCAGTCGCAAATTCTCCAGGTTCACTTCTTTTCTCATACTCAACAAGAGGACAACATGACAAACCTTTCACAGCTAACACAAGTGATGCAAGGAAATTCATAATGGAAATTCAAGAGAGAGTGATGTCGGTTAATTACCTCAACTGCTGAAGGGAACAATGTCATTCCCCCAATAATGCTGAGACCAGTGAGATACGCATTATAGCCAGGGATATCCTCCATAATTTCGGATGTACCATAGTCCATAAGCACAAGATGTATAATGGATAGGCTGACGGCCAATACATATCGACCTTCAAGCACCAACTGTAAAGCTGCTGGGATAGTTGAGAGCAGTGACGGGAAAATAGGAAATAAAGGACTAAGAAATGCAAGGATTGTCGACATGTACAAAAAATGTATGGAGAATAATCTGAACAAGAGCCAAGTAAGGCATCCCTGAAAGAGTGCAATCTCAGCAGTTGCTAAAAGAACCCCAGAAATAGCTTTGTCAAGAACCTCAACACTTCGCCTCTTTGCAGAATGTGACATAGGGAGCATACTAATCACCTGTTCTGTTACTCCACCAGAATCCGACGTGATAAGATAATAAAGTACCCATATGAATACCATTAGCTGAGATACAAAATTAAAAAGACCAGCAGCACCTGAAACTATGGAATTCCCAATCAGGAATACAACTTTCATGCTTCCACCTAAGACGGATGTGCTACTAACAAGTATCCGTTGCATTACATTTACTCCTTGAAGAGCAAACCCCTTAGCCTTCTCAACCAAGTCCTCTCTAGTGATCAGCAGTTCCCTGAACATAACATCCACTTCTGTATATATCTGTGCCCATTCTCGATCCTTAATCCTTCTTTTTAAGCTTAAGAATTTCTCTGCATATGGAGAGGGGGATGCCAAAGCCGTGGAGTGATTAAATGAGTTGTTTGCAGGGGCTATTACAAAATGTTTTATTCCAGAAACAAACTCCGTCATATTATATTGCATAGCGTAGCTATCAATTTGGGTAAATACTGTCTCGTACATTTGAGAGGTGTACTTATCCACCATCCCCGGGACATCATTTTCGTCCATCCATTGCTTAACACCAATTTTCTCAGCATAATTACTTTCCTCTACGTGGGATTTCAATGCAATAACTGCATCTTTCCCCTCAACACCAATTTTATAAGAGAAGAAAATCATACCTGCCAAAGAACCCACACTCAATCCAACAATCAAACCAATCGCCACAATAGTCTTCAATTTTTTCAATATCCCTCTAGTAAAGAAAGCAGTGATGGGGAATCTACGAAAGCTATGACTTCTAAAAGATGTTACTGCATTCATAGTGGAATCAACACTGTTAGCCGTAAACATAAATCCCAAGGCAAGCAGAGCAACTGACCCCATTCCACCAATCTGCTCATAAGCAATCACAAACACCCAAAAAGACACAAGCCACCTTAACAAAATGAAAAATCCACTAGTATGACGCCTCGACGCATTAACTTTAGGTCTCCTAAGAACAACCCTGAAAATCTTATCCTTAATATCAACAAGGGTCCCAAGGAAGACCCTAAAAACAGCCACAGGAACAGCCAAAATGGTCTCAGTAAGGCCTAACTTTAAAGGTTCAGACCAAAATGCAACAAGGGTTTGCTGAATTCCCCTCAAAGGAATTGAACATAGTACAGCCCATAACATAGCTCTCAAATACTCTTCAAGCAATTTACCAACTCCATAAATAATGAAAATTGTGAATACAAGTCCAGCATGAGCCATAGCTATGTAAAGGGCTAAACGTACCTGAGGATCAGAAGACAAAGAATTCTCATCTGTTGAGTTATTTTCCTTTGTGGGGTTTGTTGGCTGAGGTTCAGAAGGTGGCTGGTTCTGTGGTTTTGGTTCTTCTGGTTTCCTCATTGAGGCTGATCTAAACATATCTTCCCAAGGTGGATTAATACAGCTTGATTCAGACTTTGGGTCTGAATAAGGTATCAGTTCCATTAACTCAAGAATCCTTACAGAAAAGTGTTTGAAAAAATAATGAAATTCAAGACTAAGTCTTTTTGTCAGAACATGTGCTTGTTCAAAATGGGGAAAATTCTTAAGATTGACTTTCTTGACTCACCATAAATGGTGCTTTTAGTATCTGTACAACTTATACTGTAAGATTTTGAAGGAAATTGATAGGGGGGAAAGGGTGTTTCAGGACTAAGCTGACACAAATTGACAGAATTTATGTATCCTCCAATGGGAAATTTTAGGAAGACTCTAACATGAATGATGTCTTTTATTAGTATCCACAACTTCAAACTGATACAAAAACAGGTTTCAATGATTTGAGAACCTCTTAGTTTTTGAGCACATGGTCCATTCCTATTTCTTTTGCAATGACGGTTTTGCCCTTTGCTATTTTCTCGTTCTAATCCTTGAATTTGCTTTTTTCTTCTAAAAGCAATTGTCTCAAGTTAGCTGTCATTTAAATTAATTATTTTTTTCTTATTTTACCCAATAGTAATTGTTTTTAAAAATAGAGATAGCACATAAATCTATATATATATATATATATATATAAGTGGGCAATAAGAAAGTGAGGTGACACGTCTCTTAGGCCAAGAAACATATTTATCTTTTTTCTCCTTTTTTGGGAATTTTTCATCATTCTTTCAATTTATTTTATAATAAAAATAAAATAAAATTATTTTCATAACTCAAAATTTTGAATATGAACACTGTTCCATTAGTTACTGTTTCACCAATGGAAACAGTGTGTAGTCACAAGGAAAATGAGCTGAACATCATGGAGAATAAGGTAATCGACAGTGCGAACAAAGAAATTACTTTGAAAGACCAGCAATTGCTGAATCAAAAAGCAACGAAGGAGGTAGAACAGGAGAAATCAAAAGTAGTAGTGGGGGAAAATCAACAGAAATGGTCAAATATGTTCATAGGGAATAAAATGGCTGCAAGAGGTATGGATCTAGTGTTCATACCACCTACTATTCAGGATGGGGTTAAAAGATACAATTACATCAGGAGGAGATGGAATTGGAAACTACAAAGTGGCAGAAAGCTATAATTGTATATATCATTGGAGAATCACCGTCAATAGGAGCCATGGAGAGATTCATAGCTATGCAATGGAACTTTGCTGCCAAACCTACAGTGTATTATCATAATGAAGGCTATTTTGTGATACTATTCAATAGTATGGATGATAAAAATGCTGTACTATACTAGGACCATATACAATGGGAGTGAAGCCATTGATTCTGAAGTCATGGACAAAGGACTTCGATTTATACAATGAAGTTCTTAAAACTATTCCATTATGGGTAAGCTTCCCTAACTTGCCTTTGAAAAGTTGGGGACGATTGACATTGAGTAGAATTGCTAGAGGACTAGGAACACCTTTGTATGCTGATGAATGTACAAGTAATGCTTCTAGAATTTCCTATGCTCGAGTGCTTATAGAGATGGATATCAGCAAGGAGTTACCTAAGTGTATCAAAATTCAATATCCTTCAGGCAAAGAGTTTGAGCAAATGGTGGAGTATGATTGGGTTCTTCAGTATTGTAAGAAGTGCTTGATGGTGGGTCATGATTGTGAAAGAGATCAAGGCAGAGCTAGAACAACAAAAAGAAGTGTACAAAATAAGCAATATTAGACTAAGCAACAAGGAAGGAGTACCAACGTAATTGGGAATATACAGCAAACAAGGAAACCAACAACTCAATGGGTGACAATAGGGCCATCAAAGCAAGTAGAGAGGGACACGGGCAAACAGATCGATCAAGAAGATGAAACACAGGATCCAAAAGAAGATCAACAAGTATGGACAAAAGCAAATGGCAGGGTGGGACTGACAAGTCCTATACAGCAAGTTATAAGGACTACCAATGGCTTTTCTCCATTGAGAGAAGTAGCAAATGAAGGCAAAACATGATGGGCAGATGATGATAAAGCTGGATGTAGTAGGGGAGAAGGTGAAGAGATAAGTCCAACTAAGTAGAAACCTATATGAAGATAGTGACATGGATTGTGAGGGGTTTTAATAAGGCTCATAAACAAAAGGAGATGAAAAATTTCTTGAAAAAACAAAAAATCATTCTTATAGTAATAGTTGAGCATACAGTACAGAGTAGTAAAGAAAAGGAGGTCATAAATAAATGTGCACCAGGCTGGAGTTGGTGCTCAAATAGTAAGGTTACTGAAAGAGGTAGAATTTGGATTCTATGGGATGCAAATAGTATTCAATTCACTATGTTGCAATCTCATACTCAATATATTCATGGTATAGTCAAAAATAATAACTCCAGCCAGCAATTTGCTTTTACATCTATATATGGACTGCATACTGTTGCTCATAGGTGTGATATGTGGGAAGAATAAAGGAAAATCGATTCACAGATGGATAGTACTTAGCTGCTCATGGGGGACTTTAATGCAGTACTGGACAAAGAAGACAGAGTAAATGGTACAGAAATACAGGATAATGAAATCAAGAACTTTAGAGCTCTAACGGAGGATTGCAGGTTAAATGAACTAAGAACTGTGGGAAGAACATACACATGGACAAACAACCATGTGTTTAGTAGAATTGATGGAGCTATTGTAAATGCACATTGGATGATGAATATGCCACCATTGCAAGTTTGTGTGATGGATCCTCAGTTCTCTGATCACTCTCCTTTATGTATAGCGGTGAAGGCAGGAATGGAGTATAAAGGGAGACCTTTCAAGTTTTTTAACTGTCTCACTGAGCATCCAGAGTTTGAACAAATAATAAGTAGAAGATGGGAAAATGAGAATAGAAATATGAAGGATATATGGTGTAATTTGAAGCAGATCAAAGAAGAGATGAAAAGTATAAACAAGAGAGCGTTTTCCAATACAACAAAGAAGGTGCAGAAGTTAAGGGAAAACTTAGCAAACATTCAAGCACAGATGAGAACAACTAACACAGCAGCTGATATGTTTGATGTGGAGAGAAACACAAAGCATCAGCTAGAGAAGTGGAGTAATATAGAAGAGAGCATCTATAAGCAAAGGTCTCGAATATAATGGCTTCGGCTAGGTGGTTCCAACACAGCTTTTTTCTTTGCAAGCATGAAAGGGAGAGTAGCACAGAATCAAATAAAGAGTTTAACAGATAGCAATGGAAGATTGATCAACAATCCAGAGGGCATTTAACAGGAGATAGTGGGGTTCTATAGAGGATTATTAGGGAGATAAACTAACAATATGCCTACTATTAATCTTTGCATAATGAGGAATGGTCCAAGACTTACAAGGTCACAGCAGCTTCAGCTTATAGCCCCCTTTACTAAGGAAGATGTGAAGATAGCCTTGCAGAGGATTGGTGACTCAAAGGCACCAGGTGCAGATGGTTTCAATGACTACTTCTACAAGAAGACTTGGCATATAATTGGCAAGGACATCACAAAAGCAGTTCTGAAATTCTTTGATGAAGGTATAATGTATAAACAGGTAAATAGGACAACAGTTACTCTGATCCCAAAAGTGAAAAATCCTTCTTCTATAAAGCAGTTTAGGCCAATATCCTGTTGCACTATTGTTTACAAAATTATTTTCAAAATGCTCACAAATAGGCTGAAGTCAGTAATGGGAGACTTAGTTGATCTGAGTCAGGCAACATTTGTATCAGGGAGAATACTAAGTGACAATGTTCTACTGGGGCATGAACTTGTAAAAGGATATGGGAGAAAAGGTGTGTCACCAAGATGTATGGTTAAAATTGATAAGCAAAAGGCGTATGATTATGTAGAATGGTGTTTCCTTGAACAAGTACTTATAGAAATGAATATCCTAGGGAAATTTCTTTCTTGGATTATGACATGTGTTACTACAGTGTCTTATGCTATTGTGGTTAATGGAAAGCCAACAACTCCTTTTGATGCAAAGAGAGGAATTAGACAAGGTGATCCATTATCACCATATTTGTTTGTTCTAGCTATGGAGTATCTTATAAGGATCTTGAAGACTCTTAAAGAGAAGCCTGACTTTAACTACCATCCTAGGTGTGAGAAGTTGAATATTATCCAACTCAGTTTTGCAGATGACTTATTGCTGTTTTGCAGGGGAGATGTGGTGTCTATACAGCTATTGTATGAATGTTTTCAACAGTTTTCAAAGGTTTCAGGTCTGATTGCTAATCAGGAAAAAAACTGTATCTATTTTGGAGGGGTCACTGAAGATATTCAACAAAACATTATCCAGTGCTTAGGTTTTTCTAAAGGCTCTTTGCCTTTCAGATACTTGGGAGTCCCATTGAGTAGTAAAAGGTTATCTATTACTCAACGTCAACCTTTACTGGATAAGATGTTAGGCAGAATCAAAAACCGGACAACAAAGTTTCTGTCTTATGCAGACAGGTTGCAGCTGATCAAGATTGTTTTATTTGCTATTCAATCATTTTGGTCACAGATATTTCCTTTACCTAAGAAGATCCTACAAGGAATTGAGACAATTTGCAAGAGATTTTTGTGGATAGGTGAAACAAAAACCAAAGCTAAAGCTTTAGTAGCTTGGAGACAACTATGTTGGCCAAAATCTGCAGGGGGCTTGAATATCACAGATATGGTTATATGGAATAGAGCTGCCCTAATCAAGCAACTGTGGAATCTAAACAAGAAGAAGGAGATGATCAAACTGATAATTCAGGAAGTGCACTGTCGTGGAATGTTGAATTCTAAGATAGCGAGACATTTACAGAATTTCAATTTTTATCCATAGTTTGTAGTTGAGTAGTTATGTAGATATGAGGGCACTAGATTTGGGGCTACATGTCCAAATCTATGTTAGTTTTGAGGGTTCTTGTTATACTTGTAAATATTTTCCCTCTTTAATTACCAAAAAAAAAAAAGCTCACATAACTTTAGCAATTGAATACCATTTTCTTTATTTATCTTTGTTGTCCTTTATTTACTTTAAAATTTAAACTTTTATTTTCATAACTCATACTACCTTAACTTCTACTCTCAATAATATCCATAACTTCCATGCTTTTCATATTCATAACCCCCACATATTTAATTTAAAAATTAAAATACCTTATGGTATTCATCTATTTTTTCCTATATAAATTCATAAGTTTGTTTCATGAGACCCCTACCCAAGACTACCCTTTCTATTCTCTATCTGAAATAGTAATGTTGTCATATTTACTGCAATATTTGATTCATGTTTAGTTTCATTTGAGGAAGAAGGTTCTTGAATAATGATCGATATTGCGGGAGGGGGTGCCGATAAGAACTCGAAAAATTATACACTGATTTTGCATTTCTATTTCCTTCTATTTTCTTAAGATTAAGGTCTCAAGTTGTATCTTTTCTTCTCCATTACTTTCTCGTGTATTCTCTTTCGCTTTATTTTCTATGAACTTTTGTTTGTCGCAAGTTTGTATTTTCATTTAGACTCAAATTAATTACTTATGAGTTAAACTTTGTTGGAAATCTGCTAACTACTAACCAATAACAGCTTATTGTGTAAAATGGATAAATTTTAAACATTCATATATGCCCTTCATTGGATATTTTGGTAACACTTCTTATTTCTTTTAGTCAGTAAAAAGTGTTAGGGCAAAAAGTCACAGAGCAGGCACAGGTTCTTCTTTAGCCATCGGCATGTTTGTTTCTGTAAAATAGAAATTATTTTCTACTTCATTTCTACTTGTAATTTTTATAAAGTTAAGTAGTAAATTATCTTTCATTTTATTCATATGATTGGATCATGTAATATATGTACGACAAAATAAAATAAAGTATTTGGTTTACTTTGTAACTTTTGATTCTTTTTGAAGTATTATGATAATTATCTTTTTTTTGAAAGTTATGTTTTGATTTTCTCTTTGAATTGCCTATTATTTGTAAGACAAAAACATTTTTATTTCGCCGAGGATACAAATAACTGAGCAAGTATTATGAAGTGAAGTACTCTATTCTCCTTGGAATGGAGAATATGAGAGGGAAGCTAATGAATAGAAAAGAAAAGATAAAGATGAAGGCTAAGAAGGGCATAGCGAGAAGGAATATAAAAAAGATTACGTGGCAGTTTCCACATATTTCTTTTGTTTTGTTTTGTTTTGTTTTCTTTTCGCTATTAGTTTCTTTTCTTTTATTTCATATTTCTTTTATTTGAATAGGAGAAATTTTAGCAAAGCCGATATTATACTATCTAATGAAAAATTATCTATTTACATGTCTTTAACATATAATTGTACTTAAAGAGTCACGTATTAACCTCTCGCTTCCTCCTCATTAATTATAATATATGTAAATGAAATTTTTTTCTTAAAAATCTTTTCTCTTTTATTTCCTTTTGAAAAGAAAATCAGGAAAACATCATTTACCTAAAATCTAATTCTAATTAAAATGCTAAGTATATGATTTATCAATATTTAGAATTAACTTTTATATTCATATTAATTTAAGAAAATTCTCTCGGTAAAGAGGTTGTTTCCAATAGACCCTCGGCATTACTCCTTCCAATAGGTTCCCACCTTGCTCTTGGGGTGACTCAAACTCACAACTTCTTGGTTGAAAGTGGAGGGTTCTCACCAGTAGAGCAACCCACTCTTATCAAGACATAAATAAGAGTAAATAAGACATAAAATAAGGATAAAATAATCTAAACCCCTTATAATTAATATTTTCTTAAGGGAAGTGTAAAGGAGAAATACGACAGATAATTTGAGACCGAGAAAGTAGCACCTTCATTAAGTTTCAAATCCTCATATATGAACCTACTAATTCTAATATATATATATATATATATA